GTGCTCCTAAATACGCTGTATTAAAAGGCTTCATTCAATTCATCCTTACCAGTCTATTCAGAGGAAATACACAATGCAAGATATCTAGCGGGTGTTACAAATAGGGATTGATATTCCAACTCATAAACATTTACTTCTTTCTCCATTTAGCGGCAACTTTCTGTACTCGTGACGAGGTTTGCAGGGCTTGAAAGGACTTCAATTGACAACCTGTTATCCTCACGAGAGGAGGACTTCCTGCCGGGAATACCTGTCTGGATGGAGCAAGGAGTGGCGGTAAGCCACTGGTGCATCATGTCCCAGTAACAATCAAATACAGATATATTAAATGTGTTTTGATCCTAAGCTGTATATTTAATGTGTTTTGAACGCTTCAGTTAACATTTTGCCAGACATGATACCTGTTGAACCTATATGCGGAATCTTGATAGAATCATATCAGCCAGTAATCTTAATACATGTATTATCTGCCATACATTGTACCTGTTACAATCGTTGTGCAATAAACTTTGACTTATTTTTTGTTAATGTTAGTTTAACAGGCATGCACAATATACATTTACTTTGAAATTTATTGAATCCTCGTTATCAACAAATTGTTTTCCGATCTTTGTCTGCAGGAAACTTCCGATGCTGTCTGCAAAACGTACCGTCCAACATTAAGCGGCGGTCTGCTGACTGTGGCATGCACGTCCTACTACCCTTTCTTCTGCAAGAGACCTGTTCGTAAGTAGACAATCATTCTTTTGTTAGGGACGCCATCCACAGGAGTAATCTTTTCTGAGATTCATTGCTTCTTTCTTGATTCCACTCAGCTTCTGGAAACGTACCAAAAAGTAGGGTCCATACTAGACAGAGGTGGGCAAGTAGACATGCTATTTCTCGACTTTGCCAAAGCATTTAATGCTGTTTCTCATACCCCTTTGACCCACAAGTTACAAACATTTGGCTTTGGCGTAAGTGTTGCTTGGTTTAATTCATATCTAACTAACCGTCGTTAGTGGTGGTGGAGGGGTGCCACTCAGAATGGCTCCCTGGCACGTCTGGAGTTCTCAATTCTTGGAGATTTTTTAAATTTCTTTTGCACATAAATGACTTACCTTGTATACTACCGTGGCCCGTAAGTACAGACATGCGTGTCTGCACGAATACCTTCCACGTCTGCGCGAATACCTTCAACGTCTGCGCAAATACCTTCCTCGTCTGGGAAAATACCTTCCTCGTCCTCGCGAATACCTTCCTCGTCTGCGCGAATACCTTCCTCGTCTGCAGACGTGGAAGGTATTCGCGCAGACGTGGCAGGTATTCGCGCAGACACGCATGCCTATACTTACGGGCCACCGTAGTATAGTGAAACATTCGTCTGTTGTTCTCTTCGCGGACGACTCTAAATGTTTTAGAGAAGTCTGTAGCATAAACGATTGTTCCAAGCTACAAGATGACATCACATCCATGTATACTTGGAGTCTGAGATGGAGGATGTCGTTTTATCCTTCCAAATGCAAGTTGTTACGCTTGACCAGGTCCAAGAGACCAATTCTGTTCCCATATCATATGTCTGACACTATTATATCATCTGTTGATAGCATGAATGACTTAGGAGTCACTGTACAGCCAGATCTTCAGTGGGATAGCCATGTTGTGAAAATAGTAGCAAAGGCGTATTATTGGCTTTAACGCTAACATTGATGTTCGCAAAGCTCTGTACATTACACTGGTTAGGAGCAATCTGGAATATTGTTCTCCCGTGTGGCCTCCACATTCTCGTATTTATATCTCTAGTCGAAGGGGTGCAACGCCGGGGAACAAAATCCATCTTTGGTCCCCAGGCTAATCACCTTACCTACAAGGAAAGACTGGAGACACTGCGGTTGTTACCGCTCACGTTTAGGCGTGAAGTTGGGGTGATTATGTTATTTGTTAAGTCTAGAATTGTGGAGAAATTTGTTTCCTTTTCCACTAGACCAACATGCACAAGAAGTGCCAGAACACATAATTATGTTAACCCATTTTAGAGCTAAAACATCAGCATTCAGTCACACATACATCCCCAGGTTAGGCACTATTTGGAATAAGCTAGGCCCTGACCTCCGCGGTACTGGTGAGCGAGCAGCTCATCAGTCGGATATTATATCATTTAAACACAAACTACTCAAGGTCACCTACAACAGATTTCACACACATTACAGTCTTGACCTGCCATGTACTTGGACCACTTCTTGTGGGTGTAGTTCTTGTATTGTTTCTAGACCTCACTAAGTCTTGTTTCAACACTAAACTTTTTAGTCCCCCATACTTGAATTATGCTTAACCTTCTATATTGATATAGTGTATTTTTATACCTGTTGTTGTTTATGTTATTGAGTATGTAAATTTTGATGTTGTATATGTGTTTTTGTATGGGGGAGGGCAAGTTTTAAAGGTGCGTATGTACCTGTTTTGCCCTCCCTTATTCAAAATTGTTTGATATGCTCATTGATGATTCTTCTTGCGTGTTGTTTACAGTTAACACGTGTCCCAACTCCTGTTCCAACCACGGAAGCTGTGAGGGACAAACGTGCGTTTGTCAACGAGGCTGGGAAAAAGAGGACTGTTCCAGACACAACTGTAGGGACAGGAACGACTGTGGCGAATACGGCACATGTGTAGGACCGAACATCTGCAGGTGCAGGAATGGATGGCAGGTAGGCACGTAACATGCAATATTGTAACAATTACAATGAAAAATGGAAAGAAATTGTATTCCCAGATAATGGCAATACTAATTGTATCCACGTGTTTATGTGTATCTAAGGCAAATTTTGTTGGATGTTACTTTATCGGTTATGGCATCGGAACCCAAAAATTATATTTCCATTAAGGGCACAATATGTGCATATAAGTATCAGAACTTTTTAAATTGCAACATGTAATCACAAGACGTGGTGACGGCACACTCAAGTTTTTTTCAACTTATGTTAATGCCGCACCAACACAGGATACAATACAATACTCATTTTCACCTGAGGAAAGTCGTGTAAAGTACCTTTCCCAGGGGCACAAGATCGGTGGCATGTCAGGACTCGTACCCGGGACCTCTTGGTTCGGAGTCGAGCACTCTGCCGCTACGCCACACAGCCCTACATAAAACTGTTTGCAAGTGTATCTATGTACGAGTGCTAGGCTGTTTTCACCAACCTCTGACCTATCATGTTCCCGCACAGGCCCGTCCAGTTGGTTTAAAGCAAGTATCATGTCCCATACTGAAACAGTACAAAAATCTATTACTGATACAATATAAACCTCTATTTTTCTCCTTTGTCATATTCTGGCCGAGTTGGTTGCCCTTTTTGTTATTTTGTCTTTTATGACCTTATTTATCCACCTCTGCTACCGCAGGGTCGTGCTTGCACTGTAAGCTACTGTAACCGGTTCACCAGCTGTAAGTCCTGTACACGGGAGGTTGGGTGTGGATGGTGTGAGGAGAGACAAAGCTGTGAATCCGGGCTGTACAGAGGACCAGACGTGTTCCCGTGTAAGTCGTGGTTCTATCACGGCTGTTTCACCGTGGGGCAGAGGAACCGATGTTCAGAGGACATAGAGGTAAGTCTCCAACTTTCATACAGGTGTGCAGTTGTGAAATTAAACATACTGCATCTGAAAAAAAAATAATATGCATATTTTATATAATACTGAATGTGTAAGACCATCGTCTAGGTGTTAATATGCATCTTAAGAACTAGATATGCATCTTTACTGAAGTGGCATGAAAATGCTATCAAGCGGGTTAGCCCTTGATAATAGATCTACTAGTCAGGTAACCCTGGCTGTACATGGAATATGCTCATGCTGAAAAAAATAAACAATAATTGAAGAAAACATTCATTCAGTTTATACTGCACCCATTGCAGATCATTGACTGTGAAGCGGCATAACTCGCGTGGCTCCCCGAAAAAAATTAACGCCGCCGCCCCACGAGTCTGCGAAGGAGGCTTATATTTGGTTAGCACTTCTCAACAGATCGTTATGATTCGTTAACTCTTAGACTAATGCATACCTATAGAAGTTGTGAGATACTTTTTTCAGTTCAACTCACTGATTCTTTGAAACAGGCCTCCATATCCTGGCACCTCAAGCAGGACTCGACTGTAGTCGAGGACAGTGCAGGGTTGCATTGTTTTGATTCAACTACACTTCCTACAACAGAAAGAGCAACTTTAACCAAAGGGCATGAAGTAAAGACACCTTTTGACAGATCTACCCCCATTTCTACAACTGAAAAGTATGGAAGAATAACTACCGAAGGTAAGGTGTTACTCTTGAAACAAATTTATACATATGTTCTACATGTAAGGTAAAAAATAACACGAAAAATGATGGTACGACAGCGCCTCTTTTATCATCACATATAATCTTTATTATGATTACTATCAAGACATGTAATGATTGATATCGTTGCAGGGAAAATTTCACACTTTTGTTTGTTGCTACTATGTTTTGATGCATTTTTCTGACACATCCTATCATCCTAGTACCTATCGCAGTGAAAGCACGTTCCTTCAGAGGCATCGTGAAGATCGTGAATCGGGAATGGAAGGATGAACTGACGGATAAAACATCTCAAGAGTTTAAGACTTTGGCTGCAGAAGTCGAGCAAGAGGTCAGTACGGAATAGAAAATCTAAATATATAACCATCGACTTTAGTGCAATAAGCTTTGGCCAAGTTTTTTTTTCCAAGAAAGCTACTTCATATTTGGGTTGTACGCTCTTTTCCACAGCTGGAAGGTGTGTTCAGCTCAAGCAATCTTGGCGATACTTACGACTCTGTCGAGGTTGTCGGCTTTATTTTCGTAAGTTATTCTGTATGTACTTTTTAGATGTTTAGATTATCCTTCATGTCACAAGACACCAACCGTCACATGCTACATCCACTAGATGTTGCAGCGTAGCAATATGATTTTCATATGATGTTACTCGTATTTAAACTCGAAATTGTTATTTCGTCAATCAACCCTTAGATACATACTAATCATTAAAGTATTTGCATTTCCCCATGTCTTACTTGTTTGGTGATATTTCAGTCGCGGAAGCATTAAAGTGGACTTCCTTGTGCGTTTCAACTCACCCACACCCATTGCCAGCGGTGCCGTCCTGAATGTGCTGTCAGGAATGACAGACATCGGTGGTCTGCGGACAGATGGCACTGCCACCAGCATCACAGGTATTTTCATGTTTACAACATTGACTTCAAACCTGTATTGCGCAATCAGACTTAACTAACCTTCTGGGTCTTTGAATATAAACTGAACCTGACTTGACTGGATGCAATCAGTATGGGCATTGTGTATACTTTGTATATGTCTTTGTATATACCTCATTTAGATGTTCATGTATTGTCTCTCATTTTTTATGTGACAAATGGTACCCAATTCAGGGGGATGTAGTTATGCTCCCCCTGCTGATATACATTTGAAATAGTGCCATAAAGAAATTGAACATAATGATGCCACCCACCCATGTCAACAGATTCTAGAGCCGGGAGGTCGTCAACTTACCAACTACGACGCCAAACATTCAACTACACGATCCCACTGAGTCGTGTTGAAAGACACAGACAATCTTTCATTCCCAGAACTCTCAAAATCATGCAGCAGCAGCAGCTGTTGTAAAATTGAAACTCTTCTTCTGCAGAGTATTTGTTGGTTATTACTGTCTACTGTGCATTTGTATGTTAACTTGCTTTTAATGTATAAAATGTACAATATTTAAGGATATTATGATATTGCTTTTATTGTAATCTATTGATGCTGAATCTTAGACTGCTGTACATTGCAACACAATTCAGAAGTTACCCCTGCCATGCTGTTCTATCAAATAAAGTTTCAAAGTTTGTACATGTAAGCATTTGACATTGATTTCAAACACATAAGCAAATATCATCATTGCATAAAGGCAATGACTTTGGTCTATTTCTGATGCACTGCCCATATACTCCTTAGTATTAAAGAGACATTTTCCTGTTTACAGCTTGTGATTTCAAGTACTGAGAATTCAATGGAACCAGTTAAGTCGGGAAATGTTTACTTCAAAAACTGTACTGGATTTTACAATATAGTAAATAAAAGTCAGGTAGGGCAATTTCGGACTTAATGCATGACGGTAGTAACTTGAATTTCTGGACTTTTATGTCTCACCATTGTAAAATCCAGTACTGTTTTTAAACAAACATTACCCGACTTTACTGGCATTCACTACCATTGGTATATCCAATTTTTCATGCGGTATGGTTTATCTTTCAACGAGATTAAAATACATGCTCATATCTTAATATGCCCCTGTCCTATTTACAGAGGTGAACGTGGATGGAGAAGTGAACAATCTAGGTGGTGAGTCCGTTTGTTACAGTTACAGTTGTTGACCAACCAGGAGGAATCTAGCGAAGATAGACTGACACGTGACCTATTATATATTACAAATAAAGGACACAGTCATATGGTAGGGATTCAGATAGTCAATTTTTGAGTTGAAAAAATTTTAATAAAAAACACGTCACCAAATACACTTCTTATAATGTGCCAGAGGCTAGATGCGTAAATGAGACAAATAGTTTTATTATATATATGTTACTGTATATAAATAGTTTTATTTTATTTTATTATATATTACTACTATTCGGAGTGGCTTGATGGCAGTCAGGATGACTGTTAAATATAGCCACAAAGCATTTAGACAATATAATAGAACATGTTATGTTAACTTTGACTTAATATCACATACCTGCACGCACATACACCTCGCGTATTTATGCCAGGCCAATAAGATATTTTAGACTGGTGAAACTAAAAGAATGAATGATGTAAATGCTAAAATATATTTACCCTTCGTTTTTCACTTTCAGTATGGTTCCAGAACCCTGTCTACATCTTAGTCATCTGTGTTGGCGCTGTAGCCATCTTTATAGCTACTGTGTTACTGGTGATCCGCTTCACTTCAAAGGTAACGTAGCTGTCACAAAATCTAGAGGTAGATTACAACACACATAACAACAATAACTTTTTTACCAGAATAAAATGCCATTAGTCCTGTGAGAAGTTAAACTTGAACTAGTTAACAGTGTTCATAATATATTAAACTTCTAACAATTTTATGCTGAGTGACATCACATTTTTACTGTCAAATCTTCAGTTGCTATTACCGAACATTGTCTGCCATATAAAGTAACTGTGTGACAGATGTAGAATCGGATGAATAACAAACTGTCTCACTTTTCTGACATTGACAGAGACGCGCACGTCGTCGTAAGTACGCATTGCCCGATCAGAATGAGCGGCTTTCTGAGAATGCACAGCGATACACGCTGGACCCACAAGCATCGGTCTAGCAAGAACCCGGAAGACAGATGTACCAGAACCCAGTGTACAACATCGGCGATGAATGATCAATTTTCAACTAATGAGAACAATAATAATAGAATGTCGTATCTGTTGACGTGAGCTTGAATTGATACTTAGTTTGAATTTCAATGATAAAGTTTTTATGATTGTAATTAAAACGTTAGTGTATTATATATAACGACATAAGGACCACTTTTAACTATCCCAAATTTGCATTTTAATTTTTTTTTCGTTTTTGTAGTCATTGCTTTAAAGGCACTCTATGTAGTTTTTTTGACAATACAAAAAGTATATTTTTCATTCTTTTCTTTACATAGTACATTGACTTAACCCTTTAGTATTCCAAAATCATACTCCTCAACAAAAAATACAACATCCTTGCTCCTTAGAAGCTTAGAAAACTGTGAATGATCTTCTATACAACCTCTGGCCAAACCGCACATATGGTACATTGTATTGTCCACTGCTAGTGGTTTGACCTACATCCCAGTGGGGTGTCAGTTGATAGCTAACCAGTTTCTGAAATACCTAACCGTTTACCAGATTTTTTTATCTCTTTTGAAGGGATAATGACCACAGTTTGTTCATGCCCAACAAAATACTCCAAGTTGATAATTATATTCCTCCAGACCTCATGTGAAAGATATGAGTGTTTTTCTATCGAGGCTATATCTTGTCACATGTGCCCCTGTCAATCAAGCCTGGCATGCTGGGTCAATTAGCCACCCTAGGGGGCAACCCCTGTATGTTGTTGTTGTTGTCCTGAGCAAACCGGTGGCACCGGGTACCCAACAAGGACTGTTTGAACGGACAAAATATACGTAAAAAAATGTGAAATAATGACACAAATGTGTTGAAAAGTGATAGTAACTGTTAATAACACTGAAATCTAGTATAACTAGAATAATCCAAATTTTTGCGCAAAAAACTACATAGAGCGCCTTTAAGAATATCAACTATGAAAATGTAACAATCTGACCAGTTTAGAATGCATGTGTTATGTTTAGTTTTCCTTGTAATTGTGAATTGAAGGTAACGTTGGGTTTAACAAATATTATCAATAGTTGCTTGCAAACTTTCTATGCAGATCAAACATTCGTGGCTGTTGATAAAGAATGTAGGTAGAATATAAATACTGTATTGTGCTGAATCTATAACCATAGATTATCATGATGTACTAACAACCTTGAACATGAAATGTAGTGACAGAGGATCTGGAATATACCTATCTACAGTAACTTCATGTTTCTGTGTAGAATAAGAATCTCAATTTGGTTGGTCAAGCAATGTTATATCGATTAAATAGTAAACATATGTAAATTACTGTAACTTTAATAAACCAGGTTTGCCATTTGGATATATCATTTTGTACAGGTTTATTTGGCTTATGTTAAATTGGCGTTAAAGAACCAGTAATAAAATATAACGACCCTGCCCTGCCGATATAGATTTGATAACCTATACTAGCAGACTTCAGTATTGTCCTGTCAGCCGCAGGGCATATGGGGGAAAGCCTGGCTAAGACAGGTTTGCAACCTTTTATCAAGTTGCCAACTTTTTATCTACAGCTCGCTAACTTTTTATCAACAGCTCGCTAACTTTTTATCTACAGCTCGCTAACATTTTATCAACAGCTCGCTAACTTTTTATCTACAGCTCGCTAACTTTTTATCTACAGCTCGCTAACTTTTTATCTACAGCTCGCTAACTTTTTATCAACGGCGCGCTTTTTATCTACAGCTCGCTTTTTATCTACAGCTCGCTAACATTTTATTAACGGCTGGCTAACTTTTTATCTACAGCTCTCTAACTTTTTATCTACAGCTCGCTAACATTTTATCAACAGCTCGCTAACTTTTTATCTACAGCTCGCTAACTTTTTATCTACAGCTCGCTAACTTTTTATCTACAGCTCGCTAACTTTTTATCTACAGCTCGCTAACTTTTTATCAACAGCTCGCTAACTTTTTATCTACAGCTCGCTAACTTTTTATCAACAGCTTGCTAACTTTTTATCAACAGCTTGCTAACTTTTTATCTACAGCTAGCCAACTTTTTATCAACAGCTCGCCAACTTTATATCTACAACTCCCTTACTTTTTATTAACAGCTCGCTAACTTTTTGTCAACGGCTCGCTAACTTTTTGTCAACGGCTCGCTAACTTTTATTAACAGCTCGCTAACTTTTTATAACAGCTCGCTAACTTTTTGTCAACGGCTCGCTAACTTTTTGTCAACGGCTCGCTAACTTTTATTAACAGCTCGCTTACTTTTTATCTACAGTTCGTTACTTTTTATTAACAGCTCGCTAATTTTTTATCTACAGCTCGCTAACTTTTTATCTACAGCCCGCTAACTTTTTACCTACAGCTCGCTAACTTTTGAACTTCAGCTGGCTAACTGTTTATCAACAGCTTGCACCTAAATCTAGCCAACCTTAAGCTTGGTTGGTTGGTGGTCAAGGGAAGGTCCTAAATGTGTGACAGGGACTTTAGATATATCCGAAAAGAGTTTTGTCAGGTTGGTAGAACATAGGATATCGGTATTTTCTTTTGCACAACCAGTCTAGGTGAGGCATTACTGATTGTGTACAAGAAAATCCCAATATCATAGACTTAGAATACAATTTGTACCGTAAGGTACCGGTACTGCCCTTTATTTCTCACAGACGTTAGTCCATAGTTGTTCGTTAGAAATGATCTTGCAGATAATGACATAGAACCCTTACGTATCTACGCTGCCAACTGCGTTATTTCTCATCATGTTTCTGGCAGCCGAGCGCAAGTTCTGGTTTTTCCAGCCATAGAGAAACGGGTTTATAACTACGTTAGTCGAGTACAGCATAGAACCGAGTCGGAGAATTTCACTAGGAACAGAAACAGAGGAGACCATGTGCAAACCTACAATTAACGTAGACAGTAACCACGTCAAGAAAAAGAGGACGAAGATGACGAAGAGTGTTTTTGTCAGTTTCTCTTCCCTCTCTCTTTGCCGCTTGATGATTACGTCACATGTCTGTTCCTGACGTCGCCGTCGGACGTACAGGTACGTCTTGGCGTAAAACACGGCGGAAAGAACGGAGAGAACGGCGATCTGGCCGACCCATACCTTGACGAAGTTGACGTTGGCGGTGGAAGAGTTTCCGAGGACGATACACTTCCTGGGCAGCTCGTAGAAGCCCGTAGTCATCCCCGCGGCCTGGGAGACACCTACGAACGACACTGTGTACACCCAGGTCAGCCCGGCCACACGTCTGGTATTCCTATCGGAGAACAGCCGGTGGTAGTCGTCCGAAGACCTCGCGACTAGGACGTAACGGTTCACGGCAATGATGGTTAGGTTAACGATAGAGCACAGGATCCCAGTGATAGACAGAAAGGCCACGACTTCACAGACGGCTGTTGGAAGCGGCCAACCGTTGGCAGCAATGGCGACTACGTGAAACGGTTCTGTGCAGCTTACAAGAAGCTCAACCAAGCTGAGGTTAGCGACGAGAATGTTAGAGGAGTTTCGCAGCGTCTTATTCCTCAGGATCAGGGTAAGGATTAAGATGTTTCCAACGAATCCAAGCAGTGACAACACGCCCATGTAGACTGCTTCGACCCCGTCCAGTACTCTCCCATCTATGTTAGTTGATGTAGACTGATCTGTACCTGTATCCTTCTCCATTATAGCGCTCTTGTACCTGCATCAGTTCTCGTTTTACATCACGCTAAAGCATTTTTCAATGTTTCTCAGGCCTGTCTGGAGTTCTAGTAGACCGAAGTTCCCTGTTCCGATGTGTAATTGTAGGTACTTTGGACGGAGGAAAGTCCTCATCAGCTGATGAACAAGTCCAGTCCACGGCCGCCCGTCGACAGCCAGCCAGCCAGCAATGTTGTCAGAGCTCAGGTCACCTTCCGTGTCCCCAGCAGGTTCTGGATGTAGGTTAGGTAATAAAGCACGGTTGCCGCTGTCTTACTCTGTTAACCCTTGTCCTGTTGGCATTACTGGCACAATATTTTTCAATAAGTTCATGTCTTAATTAGATCATAGACCCCCATTTTTTTTGCCAGGCAGTGGCATAGTTACTTCCGCATTCCTTGCGTTTCACTGCGGTGTGATGCGTTGCACGAGAAATACCCCCAAATCGTACCTATACAGGGTGCTATATAGACGGTACTGTATGTGCCAAGCGACATATGTTGCGCACAGCAGGACAAGAGACCAACATTAAAAAAATCACATAATACCCCTGCCCCATATGGTGCACAATGTTTGTTTAGTGATCAATAAACTTATTTTTGACGCAATTGTGTACGTTTTGGACGTTTGGGGGAAACGTTCTTGTCATTTACCGCCAAAACGTCGGTGCTGGGTTTCAGTTTGATAAAATCAAGAAACATAAAACTGGACATTCAAGGGTTACTTATCTAAAAAAAGTTGTACGGAACCTTTGGCTACCTGGTTCCTGAAAATGACAAGAAGCAGAACGGCTAGACCTTACCTGACCACGGCCGGCGGACAAAATTCACAAACAACTGATCAAGGAAAGCTTGAGAAGAATTCAAAACTAAGCTTAAGCAGTCTTATTATGATCTCATATGAATCTGTGACGTATGAATTTATCTCCCAGATTATCCTGGTGTTAACATG